ATCAACATGGTATTGGTGTTAAAAGATAAAAAAGAGGCTTTTGAAAATTATGTGAAAGCAGCTGAGTTAGGAAATCCGGATGCGATGAATGATGTTAGTAATTGTGATGGAATTTGAGCAGAGATAAAATGCCAGATAGTATTGTCCGGAAGTTAAGAGAATATTAGATGATAAGAGATTTAGATTATCTTGGATTGATTATGATGAATTAGAGGAGAAGGAAACGGAGGATTTGTTAGTGCAACATGATATGACGAAATTAATGATAGATGGAAGAAAGTTGCACCTAAAGTGATTGATTCAAACAAGAATGTGCAAGAATTAAATCATAGTCAATGCATGTCATGGCCCACACTGACCACAAATGAAAGATACCACGTCTCGATACGAAGGTATCATGAACCAAGTTTTATCATAGTGAACCTCTTGGTGCGATCCGCAAAACCATAATCACTACGGTCATTTCTTTGGTACTTCAAGGATGTAAACTTTTACCAACTTCGCAGTAACTCTTCAATTCCAACAATTAGTAGCTGCAATAACTGATGATTTGATACGCTTGGGTAATTTGAATGAAACTTGTGACTAAAGACTTTAAGAGATGGTCAAGCTTCAGGGGGGACCTAGCTCAGATGAGAGCAGTGGATAGTTAAGTGATGAAAGGCTAGATATTGACGGTACCAATTTTCGAGTGTAGAACCGATTAAGGGTGTTGTTGACTACGAGGGCATTAGTCAAGTGGGGTCTAGCTCCTGTCGCGGCAAAAAATTGGTGCCAATGAGATCTATGACGTTATCGGATTCTACATGGATGGCATGACTCGAATTTGCATGAATCTAAAGTCTATTACGGTCAGTGTTGGCAAAATATGAACATGGACAATATGGACCATTGGACATGGACATTTATGGACTATGTCCATATTGTCTATAATTTTCTATTGGACATAAGGCACTTAGTCCAAATCAAACACATGGGCTTGCTACTCCGAAATATTCCGGAAGAATAAGGGTAAAGGACCGAAATATCCTGAAAAATTTGGTAAAAAGAAAATATGGACATGGACACTATTTGGACTAGTCCATGTCCATATTTGTCCAAGTCCAAATAAAATTTTTATTGGACATAGTCCAAGTGCCAACACTGATTACGGTCGGTAGTTTAATGCATGTAACCATTATCAATCGAGGATCGATCAAGACGCATACGAAATATGAGATTAAGAAAGATAAGTATCGGATGATTAATTAATCATGTAATTGAAGTAAAAGTTAAGTATCGAATGATGTAATTGATCTAGAGTCGAATGTTAAGTATATAAGGTCCTTTTCGTTTGCAAAAGGATGTAGCTAAGTTATGGATGGTTACGACACTTATGTGCGTGGTAGGGCACATGAGGAAATACCTGACACACAGCATATGTGGTCAAGTAGGGCCACGACACTAAGTATTATGTCACGTCTTTAATAAAGGTCGTTATAACTAAAATAAGAGAATTATTTTAATTACTTTTCATAAATAAAGAATAAAAGATAACTTCGTTAATAATTTATTCGCATATTGAATTTTTAATTGATTTGAGCTTGGATTTATTAGTAATAAATATCAATTTTACGCGTTATCAATCTATTTTTAAAACAAATTCTTTTTTTGCGTGTATTTATTAGTTTGTAGGCTTCTTTACGTGAAGTTCTTTTTGTTTTCTAAAATAAATCTTCCCATTTTGATTGGTTAATTATCACGTAGATCTACGAAAGCAGAATTAGCGACTGAACACGTCAACTTGTGGCTCGAATAATTCGAGTTTATCACGATTCGAATCATGATTTGTGAGATTCGGGTAGTCTGGTACCCAAATCCGCTTTTATGAAATGTAAGTTAAATTTTCATGACTTGAATAATTCGAATAAATTGATATCAATCACATGATTCGATACTTTTCTGAGCTTAATTCGCGAGTCACGAGTCCAGTCTCTGACGAGACCCTTAAAAAGTTTGAAAAAAATATTGTTTTGATATTCACGTTACACCTGATCTTAGTTACGGTTACAAAAATTTATTGTAACCTACAGTTACAAATTGATTAATCCTTAATATAATTATAAAAAATGTAGCAAATAATGCAATATTACTTATACAAAAGAGAATATGATTTTATTGTTTAAAAAAATAGTGTAAATGATATTTTAGTTATAATTTTATTTCTTTTTATATACAATTGTATTTTTCAAATAAAAATCTTTTAATCTTTTATAAATAAAAGTTTTAACTTACATTTTTATACCATATAATTTACTGAATACTTGAATCTAAAATCTAAATATTTTTTGTAGATATATATACTATAAAGAGGATCCAATCAACTCACCGACAATCACTTTATAGACACCACATTTTACCAACAATTATTCACTGACAAATTCATTTTACCAACAGTCTATTTCACCAAAACTTATTTTACAAAGTAATTTTAGTCAATATCATTAGGGCAGGTAGAATTAAAGTTAGTGTAATTTATAAAAAAAAACTTGTCAGTGAAATGAGCTTCAATGAAATAGACTGTTGGTAAAATAAACTTGTCAGTAAATAATTGTCGATAAAATGTGATGTCTATGAAATGATTGTTGGTGAAATAATACAGATCCACTATAAAGTACTATATATAGTATCAAAAAATCTTGGCTAACTTGATTTGTACCTGGGAAATATAGTGCAAGAAGAAGGATAAAATCTAAAGTAAAGTACTTAAAACAATTCTTAATAATAAGGTTTAGCAAATATATAAAATATTTTAGATTAAATATTAGTAATTAATTTCTATATATATTACACAAAAATGATGAATCACAGATTATATATAAAAAATAATCTATGTTTATCTTACTTTTAAAGGGAGTTAAAAATAAGTATTCTATATTATATTACAGAGTTGGTCAAATTACTGGTCGACCAAATTTCATTAGTCAAACTGGTCTGGTTAAATTGGTCAAATGGTCTGGTCGAATTGGTCAAATGGTTTAGTCTATTAATTAAATAAATTTAGTATCCAAATATATATATATATATATATAGTATATATTATGTATACTATATATTTAAATATTCTTTGACCAATACTAAACCCTCTGACCAACTGGTCAAATTGGTCAAACTGGTCTGGTCAAGCTTGACCATTGACCAGTCTATGCCAACCCTGAAAAAAACCTATTGAGTTACTATTATAGTACGTACATTGTTCGATTAATATTATATTGCATTTGTAATGTTAACTCTTTCAACATCTTTATTAAAATTTTTGCTTTATCCAATATGTGCGATACAAAAATTTTTGTCAAAAACTGTTCTTGTCAATCAATAGATCTTCACTAAAAAGGTTTTGTACATAAGTTGAACTTTCTTAATAAACATATAAACAGCTTTGAATTTAAATGATCTATAAATAAAATTAAAATTTTTATTTTATCGCTGTTTCGAAATAGTTGAGAATAATAATATTCTCAAAAAAAAAAATTTCTTTTTGCAAATACCCGATTCAATTAGAACTGATCGAAGATCGATTTCCAGCTATATATCTTTATTTAATGATGATAATTGGGCAGTATAATGATACAAACGGCTCGACTTAGAGCTGACTTGATCAAGTCGAGCCAATCCTTCGGCTCTACAAACCAGAGCCGTGCCATTTACAAGCTGACCAACTTCAAGCCGAGTCGAGCCGTTAAAGTAACATTGTTTCATTAAGATCAGCATCATTAAATTACAAGTCGATGGGTGGCGCATTCGTACCACCCATCTTATTCAACATTTTTAATTATATATTAGTTAATATTAAAATCATGATTTCTAACACGATTACTGTGAAGTATTTTGTTACATAACTAAACCATGTACTCACAGTGTCTTAGGCTATTAGTTTTGTATTGTAATCATCAAAAAATTTTGTTCTGAATTCTGGTGACCACAGTTTCGGTTGAATTATCGCTCTTTTCTGCATAATTTTTTGTTTAAGTCCCGTGAGTCCTGTGATTACGATGAGGGTATCACTTCATCTTCGTCATATTTTGTGGACTCATTTTAGGGGTCCGTATCACTTCGTAGAAGTTTATTTCACAGACACCTTGTTTCACAGACAAACAATTCATAGACAAATTTATTTTAAAGACAATTAATTTACAGACAGTTCATTTCATAGACATTTCATTTTGTAGACAATCTTTAACAGCAAATAACTTCTGAATCAGTGTTAAAGATTGTCTACAAAATGAAATGTCTATGAAATGAACTGTCTATGAAATGAACTGTCTATAAATTAATTGTCTTTAAAATAAACTTGTCTATGAATTGATTGTCTGTGAAACAAGGTGTCTGTGAAATAAACTTCTACGAAGTGATACGGACCCATATAATACCTGGTCAGTATAGTATAGATTTAAAAATCGGCCTGTACTATACGGATCTGCGAAACTCCTGCATGTCAAATCACGCAGTTATCATGCAGAGCAATGTTATGTTTTTACTTAGCATTTTGCTCATCTCTAGCCCAGACGTAAAATCAAAAAAATTTTGCACATACGTATAATATTATTTATTTATACTAGAATTAATATTAACGTAATATAAGATTTACATTTAGATAATAATACCCAGGAAATTAATAATACTAATATAAAATTGTGTAACAAGAAACCTTATATAAGAAAAGCACATAATATGTAGAATAATTTTGTAAATATGAAAATGTTTGAATTTAATCTTCTATCTGCTCTCAAGAAGTTATTACAAAAGAACGAAAAAAATCAATTACGGACTAAAATTATTAAATATTCTGACAGACTCTTAACTGAACACGGAAATGAAATATGTTCAGAGTTTTTTAAAAAACCCTTTAAATCTTTCACGTACGCCGATGATCCAGATTGGATTGGGTATGGTGATATATCCATGTCTGTTTATGACACTGCATGGGTCGCAATGATTCCTAGTAAAATTTACAAAGAATCAAACATTTCGAAGAATTTCAGCTTAGCATTTCCTCAATGTTTCTTATGGCTTTTAAACAACCAAGATATGCATGGTAGTTGGGCTGGTAGTGGTTCTGGTGGCATAGTGCCAGGACTTGCAGGTCTGCTTGCACTAGGTCTTTTCCGATTACATTCCGGTGAATTCTTTGAGATTAAATTGAATGATTTAGGAATAACTATTGTAAATATCATATATTACTTAAATGAATATATTTTTAATTTCATAATTAATGTTTCCATATTAATAAAATTCATTTTAATGATTTTTTTCCCTTAAACAGGAGCAATTTATTGCAACTTTTGAAAAGGCCAAAAAATTTTTACAAAAAGCGTATGTATCATAGAATTAGGTGCACCTTATTTACATAACTAGTGCTCTGAATGGGTTGGTTTAGGCGAGTATTTGCAGCCAGATTTCGACCAAAAGGTTTGATTGGTTCATATCAGAGGTCAAAATCAAAAAAAAATTTTTTGACATGTTAAATGCATGATATTCAATAAACAATCCAAACGTTCAACATGCCATCGATTTTTGATCTAATTGTATAGTGATTATTTTCATTGTATATTCTGACAAGTGAATCATTGCTTAAATAGATGTTAACAACTCTTTGTCACCAAATGAAATGAATTTTTATTAATGATTGATAAAATTCTTTATTAGATTAAACGAATGGAATCTTGACAACTTTGACATGATATGCTACGAATTAATAATCCCTTACCACCTTTCAGCTCTGGCACGGCTTAAAGAACCAGTTGTGTTTGATTTCCCTGAAAGTGAACGAATTTTACAAGAAGGTCAAAGAAAAATGAGTCTTATCCCTCTGGACAAGATTATTATTCTAGCAAAAAGCCAACCAATAACCCTTATTCATTCTATTGAAGTATTTTGCGAAAAACTAGACCTTTCACAAATTCAAAATAAAAACTTTCAAGCAATTAATGGTAGTTATGGATCTTCACCAGCCGCTACTGCTTCAGTGCTTTTACATGCCCAGAAATGGGATGATAAAGCATTCGAATTTTTGGAAAAGATAATTTCAAATTGTCCATCTTATGCAAAAGATCATGGCCTTGTTCCTACTATATGCGATGTAGGATTATTTGAAACTATTTGGATGTTGCATTCTATTGGAGATTTATGTCTAAATATTCGTGCAAACGAGAAAATTAACCTCATGAGCAAGCATATATTTAAAAAAAAACTTTTCCCCAAGAATCTTGCACTCATTAAATACTTATCTGCATTAAACAAAGAACATGGTGGAACTATTAGATGGACTAGTTGGGACAATAAAATACCAAAAGACGTAAATTGAATTTTAATATATCGTTGTTATATTTCATATTTGACCACAATAAGCAATTAATTATATTTTAAATCTGGATAATTTTTAGGCTGACGATTCAAGTAAATATTTTTATTTTTCTTTTTAATAATAATTGTAAGTCGTATAACAGGTGTTATTTAATGCTTTACTATGATCAGTTTATGGTATTTTTAAATCTGAGATAGTAAATCATAAAATAAAACCGTTATTGCATGCTCCGTAAACCATATGGGCGGATTTGACGCAAATGTTGATCATTTGAATGTCAAAATCATGTCATTACCAGCATTATAAAAAAAAAAAAATACTAATTTGGCCCATAGCCAGAATAATTCGGCCCAGTTTCATGTTTATTTCCTTTTTTAGATCAGAGTACAACCGGAGTGCATTTTCCAAAATAGGAAACCAAAATAAACCAAAATAAGAATTTAATTGGTTTAAATTCAAGATAATCACTAAATTGATGTGCAATTCGAAAATATCACACAATGAAAATGCGTCGAATCCGCCCATATGGCTGTATTTGATGTTCTCTTCCGATCGTTCGGTAACCCAGCCGGTACGGCTGGGTTACCAACCAATCATCATCGTCCATAAAATACAGCAGTTAGTGCTTACGGAGCATGCAATAACTATATAATATTGTTTATTTTTCTTCTAAAATAATGTATTTATTAATAATAAGAGTACATTCTTTTTTCTTCTCCTTAGCTGTGTGTAATTGGCTTCTTAAAAAATTCGATTCTGATGGTGCAGTTGATCTTGACATTATTGTAAAGACTTTTTATAACGGAAGATATTTTATTACTTATCCCAATGGTATAAATTTAAAATTATATATGCAATTATCGTTTATGTAATGACTACGTAATGGTGCAGTAGTAATTAATATTAGTTCTTTTAAATTGAAATTTACTGCTAATTGGTCATCTGATATATAAGAATAATGTTGTATAAACAATTAATATATGGGAACTTTGCTAGGATATTTTTTCTAAAAGTAGATTTATGTTTTTCCTAAAAAATCCCGTGTAACAATGCCTCGTAGGGTCATTTTACTGGCAAAGATCCCATATATTATAACTACATCATCATTATTCTTAATTACTGTATCTTGTCACCATATATGTAGTTATTACATAAATTATAGAAGAACACAATTAAAAATGAAATTGTATTCATTCGAGACTTTATAATTATTCCAGAACGAACATTCTCGATTAGTTGTAATGTGCATGCCATCAATCTTTTTGTCTCGGAGTATCAAAGTTTACAATCAAATAATCAAAATACTTATATTATAAGAAAATTCAAGTTGGAAGAGATAATTGTGACTGCAACAAATTTCCTAATTTCACAACGTGAAAAAGATGGTATTTGGTTTGATAAATGGAATAAAAGCCCATCTTATGTAACTTTCAAAGCAAACAATTTGCTATTATCCTTACAAGAACACCCAAACATATATACTAGGTTAGGATTCACAACAGAAAAAGTGCTTCGCGATTTTTGCAGAAAAACTGTCGATTGGGCATTAATTACACAGCATGATGATGGAAGTTGGGGTGAGCCATCGAATATAGGACCTGGAAATCTTGAAGAAACAAGTTATACTGTAAGGCTTCTAAAGACTGCTTCTAAAAATTGGTTAGATGATAAAAAGATTAAATTAGCATTATATAATGGTAGAAAATACCTTATTAAACATCTTGATGAAGCAATGAAGAATCAAGGATATTTCCATACAAAGCAACCTTTTTTATGGATTGGCAAACAATATTATACTGTTCCAAGAGTTATCAAATCATCTATTCTTGCATCCCTTTGGGATGATTAATTAAAAACTTAATTTTTTTTATCTATTTATTTAATTATTTTATTTATTTATTTATTTATTTTTGACTTATATTTTACATACCGGCTCATATTACAGTCATCACCCTCTACAGACACCCCCTCTCTAATCATATTATATAAAAACCTCTCTTTATCACATTCTATACTCAAAAACAAATTACTATTAAACATATAAAAAACTACCTCAATATAAGCACAACCTCTTTATAAGCACACCCTATAAAAGATATATACTAAAATTATTTTGAATTAATACTAAAATTTTCCGTATAAATTATATATAATTTCCATATGAAATTCCAGATGAAATGATACAGAATTCACTGCAAATTTCGTATTATTTGATACGGAATTTTATATAGAAATCTTTTTATTAATAATTTAAATTATATATATTTTATTATTTTTTATATAAAATTCTATATATATTAAATATAATTAAGTATAATATTTGTAAAATTCCATATATAATAAAATATAATATTGATAAATTCTGTTTATAATAAATATAATTGAGTATAAATTTTTTATATATTCTATATATAATAAATATAATTGAGTATAAATTTTTTATATTTTTGTATTTAATAAATATAATTAAATATAAATTATTGATAAATTCTGTATATAATAAATATAATTAAGTATTAATTAAATTGTTTGCCTTTTTGAGATTGTTTTTTAGATAAGATTTTTTTTGTATATTTTTAGTTTGTTAAAAATGAGTTGTTTGTCACAAATTTGTAACTTCTTAAAAGTACTGTGTAAAATTATTTTTTGTAATAATTATAATATATATTAAATATAAAAATATTAATAAATATATAATTAAAATTTTTA